TGTAGGGAAGGAGTAAATGCAAGGAAATTCTGCATAACTATGGCTCACACAGTTTAATTCATGACTTATATTATATATATTCAAGCAGACTAATTTCAACAATTGCCAGAGTTTTTCAAACATAACTTCTAATTCGTATAAGAAAGACAAGGTTTATGAGTGTCATTGTTGTTATCACATTCACAAAGAAAGCCTAAAAATTATACCTTGGTCATGATTCCTGAATCAAGCATCCATGAAGTTGGAATTTTGTACTCTTGATATGAACGCATTGCAGAATTTCGCAACTTGATTAGCCTCTGTATGCTGCACTCAGACCTATCACAATGAGAAGAGATAACAGCATTAGTATCCCCCACACTATAAACCTGGCATATTTGACATTAATAATTAAAGGAAAATGATGTACAACAAATTGTACACCATCATTTTTTTTTGTATCTATCTTTCTCCATCATATCATTTATTACATTTATTAATGATGGAGAGAGACAGATCCAGAAAATGCTGTTGTAGAAATTGTTGTATGTGTATCATTACTCATAATTAAATACACGATATTGATCTATTTCTTTACTTGTCTAATAGGTTGGCCATCTTTCTCAAGGAAACTCCACATGGAATTTCAGGGTCATCCTTGAAGGAGGAAATCTCTTGTTCTAACAATTTAATTTCGCGATACTCAACTGCAGCTTCACGCATGGCATCAGCTTTCCTCTCAGGCCAATTAAAATGCTTCAAAACTGCACGCTCATCTGCCTGTAGAAAACAGAAAATGTAGCTAAGAAGAAACCAACATCAACATGCTATTTGCATATCATCTGTAGTACTACTTGATCACATCACCTTAAAACACACATTGTTTTTGGTATCATAATGTGATTATGTCTCATTTACTGATAAAACTTTTATAGATGTACATTGTCAAACTACAAAATCAAGTAGCTCAAGCTGTTCACTTAACTAGCCTTCCTTATCTACTAGGGAAACTAAATGTACCAAAAAAATCGGAGGAAAGTATGGTAGAGGTAATACAACTCGGAAGGGGGCATGACATTAAATGAAAAATTAGCAAGCATTTCTAGTTTTTACTCTAAACTAACTACTGCTAAATTCTCAGTCTTCAGATTTCAGAAACAAGATCTACACCCATTTCACACCAATTTAAACTGCTATGCTGCTATAAATATATAACATAATAGAACTATATGTCTCATACCAATGATGGAGAATAATTGAACCACTAATATAATTTTGATACACACTCACTCACCAATGATGAAAGTTCACCATCCAGCCAATTGACAAAATTTAAGACATCTTCAATATTGGTGTAGGCCGCTTCTACCACCTTTTTTATAAGGCTATTAATGAACTCTCCTTTTGTTTCAATGTCTGCCCTTATCTGGAAAGTGTAATCAGTCACTAATGGTGCATATTTATGTCGAAAAAGACAGAAAATGTTTAACCACCAATTGAATTTGAAAAACACAATGCTTACTGCTAAAAGATGAGCAGAACGGTTCTGAATTTCTCCAACAATGCTGCTGTGTACATTGACAGCTACCGGTTTCTGCTGTCTAATTGATCCTGTTGTGCTTTTCATCCCTTCTTGATTCTTCAATGAGTGAAATAATTTCACAAATGCAGGGGCCCTTTGGGAATTATTCGCTTTTGCTATTGGCCTAGAAGGGATTGATGGTGGTATCGGTGGTGGTGGTGGTGGCAAGCATGAGTTTGGTACAGGTTTTCTTCCTATACTTGTAGTTATTTTATCAGGAACACTAGGAATTGCTGTTGGTGCTGGAATTGGTGCTTTAACAAAGCATCCATCAGTGCTGGCTTCCTTTTTCACTATGGACCGTTCCAATTTGTCAGCAATGAGTTTCTGAATGTGTTTAAACTTGGGGTTCTGATGTTCTCCATTTGGTTCCTTCATCCACAATAAAAATTAGACTCATTCCTAAGACGGCATCGTTGATAGATAAACCTCATCCACTAAACAGATATGTGGCATTATCATATAAAATAACAGTAAAAAATCTAATCAAACTGCATTTGATGATTCTAATAAATGGACTAACCATACTAGAAATTATCAACAGTAAAAAGAAACAACAATTAAAGAGAAGAAGCAGGATAAGAACACATTCCAAAAGTCCATTTTTTTTTTTCCTTTAGCATATTGAACCTGTTTGGATAAGTTAGAAGAGTTTTTACTCCAAAAAGCTCCTTATTTTCAATAGAAAAACTATCAAAAACTCTTCTAAGTTTTTATCCAATCAGGTCATTATAACAAATAACAAATCATTAACACTTGAATTCTCACCTTCTCATTGCTACCCAAAGACACCACCTTTGCTTCAGCAGCAGCAAGATCCCGAGTGAGTTTCCTGTTGTTAGACTCCAGCTCCACGTTCAAGCCCTTAACTTTCTCCAATTCAGCTTTCAAAGCCAGCACTTCAGACTGCAGATTCTTGATCAAACTCTCACTCACCACAAGCTTCTCCATCAATTCCTTCTTATTCTTCCCATCAGGGTCCTCCTTGTCCCTCTTGAAACCAAAATCCCCACTCCTTGGCCTAGAAAACTGTTCCACAACATGCCGACTCACAAAACGTGCCACAACCTTAGCCTCTTCAACTTCCCTGCCCCTTTGGTTTCCCACAACCTCTTCATTGGGCTTGGCCTTGTTCATCACAAGACCCCTTTTGACCCTTGAATTGTGCTTCAACTCTGGAGTCACAGACTTGGCTCTCCTTGAAGGTGTTGACACCACCCCATTGACAACCTCGGGTGGAGTCTTTGGAGGCTCTTTGTAATTGGAAGGAAGTCTTAAACGTGATGGAGTTAAACTGTTCTGAAGCTTGATCACACTTTTTGGTGTTGTTGTTGTTGCTGCTGCTGCTTCTAGTGATGCTGGTGACTCTTGCTTCATGGCTCTTGTTCTGAAAATGGGGTCTCAAAAGAGAGAGAATAGATCAAAGAATGACACAAGAAAAAGAACAAAAGAGAAATAAAAAACAAATGGTTCTTTGTGTCAGTGAAATGGTGGTGTTTTTGTGAGTGGCAATAATATAAGTAGTGGTTGAAGAAGGAACATGCCACCTAGAAAAGACAGAGGACTTATGCAACACCTTTGTATGTGGAAGATGAGAATGATACACAACACAATCAGTGATAGTATGGTGTGGCAATTGATGGTGAACAATGACACCACCCCATTGAACCTGAGTGACTCAACACAACTTGAGTGAAATAAAGAGCTTTGGTGATTCTTTTTCTTTCTTCTTCTCGATTAAGTTGCACATTGAAGTGATGTGAGTGGGAGTTACTAAATCACTTGTTTGACATGGAATGGAAAAGCTCAAAAGCATGGTGCTTAACTTGGCCACCCCAAAAGAAAGTGACCCACATCCAAAGGCTGAGGACACTATGACTCATAAGGTACGGTTAGATTCTAGTAGAAAAAGGAACAGAAAATTCCATTGATTCTTTGTCTTTTACTAGGTAGAATCTAGTCCTAGTTCTTCCACTTTAGATGGCATATATGAATATATAATGCCCAGGACTAGTTGTCAATAGGAACTTACTTAATACCACAACAATGTTCCATTTCAATTGTATTGCTGAACACAGTATAAAGTTTATCAATAATCTTCTTATAGTTAATCAAATATCAGAATATAAATAAATTGCCTATTAAATTATTTTTGTGCTTAATTTTTTAAAATAAACACGTTCTTATCGGTGAATATTTAATATTGAACTTTTAGGTTAAATGTTTTTATTATTTGGTTAAAAGTTATTATAATTGAATTGAAAAACATTCTAATATGCAGAACTTTTGGATATGTTGTCTATTTATCAAGCAAGCGTTGCCAAGAAGGAGTAAAAAAAAAGATAAAAAGGGATTTTGTCATTTGTTGGTTTGTATTCCTTTTCTTCTTTGGTCTAATCACAAAACCACTAAGAGAGAAAAATGTAATGCAATTTATAGAAAAGAGACCCAAGTTCTTAGTTATGACTTAAACATTATAAACCCCCCTTTTTTTTTAAATTGAATAAAAATTAATTTTGAATTGCTAAACAAAATTAAGATATGCGTTCAAATTAATCCTATAATTTTACATTAAAACGTTTATTAACGTAAAAGGATTGATTATGGATATATATTCTCAACCATACTGTTTCTGTCTCTGAAATTATCAAATTGCTAGTTTACCCACTAAAAAATTGTGAGATTTTTTTTATTTTTTTTGACATAATGTAAGAGATATTTTTTGTTTCTTATTTCCTTTGCATTATTTTTCATTGTTGTCCTTTCATTTTGTTTTGTCCCTAGTAGGACAGCACATTAGCAGTTGTAATGATGGTACTATAGGCCAAGTATTCTACATACAAACAAAAACATGCATGTACCGATGACGATTTTGCTATAAAAGGACTAAAACCGTTATTGGGGTCCCAAAAGACAGGTAGTGTTTTTAGTGCAATGGGTGAAAGTTTAAAATTTTTGGTCTCAAGTCTTAACATGCCATGGAGCGAGTTCATAGAAGAATTTGTTGTGTACCTTTACCAAAATAGGTAGTGTCAACATCCTTAATTCAATGTGCCAGTAACATTGAAAACATGAAACTTCGTCATTATTTAATAAAGTACAATAGTACTTTGACAATAAATCAAATTCCAAGAATAAATTATATGTAAAGAGTCGTGTCTTCTAAGGTGAAATTGCTAGTTGGATGTTATATATTTTGTAAGGCTAACACAAAACTGTCTTATGAAGGGTAGATTGTGTTGGGGAGTTTTCTGAAGTGGGTAGACATAAAAAAGAGTGTATTTGATTTCAAGTACAAGTTTGGTGGCATTTGTCTTTCATTGTAGCTTAATTTACAAGTATTAACAGCCTCGTAGCAATGGTTCATTGATCAATAATGCATTTGCAATTGATATAACAACTTACACACTAAACCCCCTTTTTTTTCTTTTTTTTTTTTCTCTAACTATGTGGGAAAACAATGCTTTGATTTTGGCTGAAGGGAACAAAATGTCACTTGCAAGCATGGAAACAATATCTTTAAGGATATGGATTCCTCTGCCTTAAATGTCAAAATCAAACTCATTGAGGTCACACTCTTTTCCTTGTCTTTCACGGTTAATTACAAATTCTTCGTAATAGGGACCACGGATTGAAAAACGATAATTACAGAGGAATCAAAGATTATGAAAGTAAAAGGTAAGACATTGCGGAATTTGTTGGTAGATTAATGCAAAGAAGAATTTTACTTACATTTTGCTACGTTGATCTATATTGGATGCATCAGTTTGAGAAATGCAAGACAATGCACATTGCTAAGGTTTTTTTTTTTATTTATATTTTTTATTCTATGCTGGGACCCAATATTAAAATGGCAAAAAAATTGTCTCAAATTCTAGAATCGCCTTGTATGAACAATATAGTATATGCTTAGATATCTACTAAAAATTCACATTCTAATGAAAAAAATCAAAAGCTTGTGAATGCATTTCTTTTAATCCCAGTTGAGTTAAAGTCAGTTAATTTCCAAAGCAGAAAATTCTGTATTTCATTTTCATCATTTGTAAAAATCTTTCAAATTAGTTGAAGTCGCAGTACTTCTGGCGGGATCACTCTATGCACTGATGAGCTAGAGATATTTAAGACAACACAAAAAAAAAAAAAAAAACTCAAGAATCCAAAAAGTAGAAACTGCTATAACATGGAATAATAATACTAGTAATAACTATGTGATCTCAACATTTTGCACAAGCTAAAAGACAAAAAAGAGGAGTGGGTATCATGGGTTTTAGCCATCATTCTTTACTTGACGCTCTTAAAGCAGAAAAAGTTGTAAATTCCTTTTCCCTTTCTACAAGAAAGATTCGTCATCAAGAAGTGTTTTAGACCTTTAAAATCTTAATGGAACCAAGTACACAGTAAAACTGATAAGGAATGAATGGATTGGTCTTGCATTCCCTCCAATTTTAAAATAAAATAAAACAATTAATGCTGAACATATATTATATATGCACTCAATTTCTTTACCAAAAAAAATATGTACTTAATTTACCTGATCACTGGCATAGTATCTCATAAATGTGAATAAGTGGAATTTGATTAGTTTACTTTTTTGCATATGGGGATTGCTCACATGAAAGTTTTTCAAGCCTCGTGTGAATGCAAGGACGATTTCATATAAATCCTTAAATTTGTAATAATAGATCAGATTGTAATGTGTATATTTAAGTTAAAATATATATTGTACAGTGTTACAATTTAATTTATTTTGATAAATTTAACGATTTAAATATATTAAACTATAGTAACTTTTATATTTATTAAAGTTAGAGAATCTAAATTGTTAAGAAAAGTGACACGTGAAATCAAAATGAACTACATATGCAGCACCACATTTATGATATTGATGTATGAAAGTGACAGAGAGTGGTGTAGCATCTGCAGCTCTATATTTTAGAGCCATTGCATGCTACACACTGTTCAAAGCAGTCTTTTGGTGCCACGTCTTCCATATAAGGGCATACACAAAATTAATAACACCTTTGTTAATTATCACATTGAGACCTGAGGACACTTGAGCTTATTTCTTCTTTATATAGTTTTGTAAATGCTGACTATACATTTGTTGCTAAATCAAAGATTATGGTCTGAAATCTGCAGAAAATAAAATATGCTTTATTGTAATGCCTAGTGAAAACTATGCATGCTATGGACAAATATGTGCTGATATACAGTATTAGTCTGAAGTTTTTTCATCAACCAAAACCTTTTGGTTCGTTAGTTTCATGAATTCATAATGTTTTAATTTTCTCATAATCTCAACTTTTAGCAACTTTGCTGATTGGTGTCAAGAGAAGAGAACTATTTTTTTTTTCTTATTGAAGCTAAATAAAACATATATATTACTTTGTATTAAAGTAATAAAATTTTTCATTTTTTTTACTGATATAATTAAGGTTTAAATATATTTTTAGTCTTTCAAATTTAGGATAAATTTATTTTTGGTCTCCTAAATTTAAAATTATTATTTTTAGTCCATTAATTTTAAAAACTTATTTTAACCCTTATATTCAAATTTTGTTAAAAAATTTATCAAATATTATTGCATAAACTCTACCTACTAATAACATCACATTAAATTTAATTGATATTATTCTTACTTTATCACTTTCAGATATATTATTGGTGATCTAAGGAACTAAAACAAGATTTTTAAAAATTTTAGAGACTAAAAACGAATTTATCTTAAATTTGAGGGACTAAAAATAAATTTATCTTAAATTTGAGGGACTAAAATATATTTAAGCCTATAATTAATTATAGTTGCTTTGTGTTAGTGGTTATATTATGTTGTAATTATGTTTGTTTACTTCAGCGAGTGGTTTTTGAATAAGTATATGATTTTAGACAAATTTATACGCTTAATAGGAAGTGCATGTATTTTGCTTTATATGATATATATGATTGTCATATTTAATGTATTTTTCTTATATAAGAATAAAAAATGTAGAACAATATGAATATCTAACAAATATGAGATTACTTTGTTATCTTACTTTTCTTCTTCAATGTTTTATGATTTTATATTTTATGGTTTCGCTACCATTACATGTACACTTTAGTTATGAGGTGAATTTGAGCTTGGAGTTTTCAATATTTGAGAAGGGTCAGAATAAACTTACATCACAAACAATTAGGTGAAAGAGATGATTATAAAAGTGGACAAAGTTTATTTCGTTCTGCAAATTACTTCTTGTGAATCATAAACAATTGACCAAGTACCTGAATTTATATTCCACAGCTATATGTTGTAGTTTTGAATCTTAACTTTCCTTGAATCATTTGTCAAGCCTTCCCAAAGTTCTGATCACACCTTGATGTCATCATCTAGCTAGCCAGAAAGATGAACATATATTAGTTGCATGCATGCAGGAATTGGTTAGCTCTATATATGAACTGGTCATTAACATGATAGAAAGACAAGGAATGAGAAAAAGCACACCTTGAAGCATTTTGCATTCCAATTAAATCCAACGATCCAGGTAGCATAATATTATGTGTTTCTTTGGTTCAAATGATCATGGTTATAAGAAAGAGTTGAAAATATAAGATGGAGAGAGGAAGGCAATGGGGGGGAGAAGGAGTGTGAGGGGGTTGAACTAGGGTGATTTCCCTTTGAAGGAATACTTGAAACACACAAGAAAATGTTCATACATTGCCTGCGGTTAGTTGTGACTTCACATCACACAAGTGCCATTTGTTACTGCGGTTGTGATTTAAGAAATGTCATTATTTTTGTTTGAAATGACTTGTCTTTTGCAATTTTGCACTTGAATTCACGTGCCTAACATTCTATGTCTGTTGCATAAATAGGTGTGAACACAAGATTCGTCTCTTTTCTGGTGGGTAAATGGATTTAATTAAAAGTATCTTATAAGATGGGAGATATCAGCATATACATGTCTTCATCCAACTATTTTTTTACTATATCTTAACCATACTTTAATTATACCATTTTTGTTCTCCCTAACTGAATATAACGAGACTTTTGACTTAAAGTGGGATTATTATTGTGTTGGCACCCCAATGATAAAGTGGGATTTGTTTTTAAACTTACAAAAGTTATACACATTTAATTCTTGATAAGACACTAAAAAAGTACAATTTTTTTTAGTACAAGAATAAAGATCGAATAAACATTTTATACGTACAAACAAAAAAAAATTGTATTCTTTTTTTAAATATTTAAGCTTCAACTTTGGTATATCAATGTCAAAAGATTAATAAACTAAAGAGCTATTATGATCAAGATATTAAATTTAAAGCCTATTATATTAAGGTAGTTATAACACTTCTAGAATGAAAACAACCTGGTAAGCACATTACACCACCCATTTTTATTTTTATTTTAAATTTTAAACACATCATTCATTTAACTTTCACTTTCATTCCAACCTCTAATATTTCAAAGATGTTTTTTTTTCTTTCTTTTTTTCTCTTTTGGTTTGTCTTCTGAAATTCTTTTAAAAATAAATTGGCTTCTGAATTAAACGTTTATAGAAGTCTACGTGAATGAGTATATATTATGTTAAAATTAGGAAGTCTATTATTCTGAAATTGTAATTTTGGAACTCTATTTGTTAAAAGTATCTCGGAAATAACATTCTGAAAGTGTATTTTTATATAGTTTAAAAAAGTCTGTTTATATGTTTATTATAAGCCTATTTGTTACAAAACCTATAAATAAAATTCCGAAAGTCTGTTTAGGTGTAACAAATAGACTTCCATGGAGAAATTTTTGAAATATAAAAATAAACTTCTGAAATTATAATTGCGGAAATATACAAATACACTTTCGGAATCATAAATCTGAAATAGAAAATTTATTAAATTCCAAGAACGCATGAGTATTTATTTGTTAAGGATATTCTCCGTAGGAAAAAGTGACTAGTGTGTTTCGAAAAAAATAGGTAGTGCAAAAATAATTCTGAATGCACTTTTATCAATGGTGGACCAATTTTTTTTTTTTTTTTTTTTTATCATTAAATTAATCTAATTTATAATTATTAATAAAGAAAATATATTTTTAAATAACTATTTTTATCTCTATTTTTTAATTTTTTTTATCTATTTGATTATACAATAACTTTTAGAGATATGAAGTAATTCAGCTCCTCTAATCTTTATAATACATTTTTTATTACACCAAATTATACATATCTTTTCAACTCCTTTCCCAGTCACCTCTCACAATTATAGTGATAATCCTAAATCTTAAATCCTAATATTGTGACAATTGAACTCAACATCTTTTCACATTTGATCACTTTAGATCTACATCATCCAACACACAATGCCATCCTCTTTTATCAAATATAAATCACTAGAAAATCTTTAACATTTCGTAATAATAAAAATGAAGAAGAAGAAAACACCCCATATAAGTACAAAAGCTTGCTAGGGTGGGAAAATTAGGGAAATGTATAAAGTGGTTACTAAAAAGAGTACTCTCTTTATATATTAGTATAAATTATATATGGAAGTGCATGTATTTTATATAAATAGATAATTTTAAACATAACATATTTTGAGTTTACAATAAATATTTGATATTGTGATGATTTATTTTAAAAATATTAAACAATTATAAATAAATATAATAAAAAATTGAATTAGATTATAAATTTAAAAGAATTTCTAAAAATCTTCTTATTGAAAAAGAAAAACTTAAAAAAAAAAATGTAAAAATCTCTAAAAAAAATCCTCTTGTTAATCATATATATTTACGCTAAAGATAGTCATATTTAATATATAAAAATTTATTATTTTAAAATTATTTAAATTTAATTTATAAATAAATATAATAGATAAAATTTGAATAGATTAAAAGTTAGAAAGATTTCTAAAATAAATTTGTCAGAGAAAAGTCTTTAAAAATATTATTGTATAATAAATATATTTATCTTTAATAAATAGAGGTTGATTTATATTATTATTATTGTTATTATTAGATTTCGTAGAACATTTTAGCTAACATTATTTTTCACTGTGGCATCATGTGGCAGAAGCAACTCCAAAGAGTCTCATGAGGGTGATGGGCATTCCAGGACTTACTTTGTACCACCTAAAGAGCCATTTACAGGCATTCATTCCCCTTTTGTAATGATATTATAATTCTATGGTTCCTATTCACTGAATCTGGAAATCAGGAGTTGTGACTTTTTTTGTGTGTTTCTGGTTACAGAAATATAGGCTTGGGAAAAGCCAACAACTTGAAACCTGCTCTGACAACAAACAAGAAGGTGACTTTAATACAATTTAAATTATTATCGTATATGTAATTAGAGTTCAACTGAAAACATTTGCATTAATCAATTTCAGATTTTCACAAGCATTTTTAACTATATCTAATCAATGCGATCCTATCACATACCATGTAAAGTTACATAAACTTTTCGCAAGTGTAAATCAATTTGACTAGTACTTATTTTAATTTTAAACGTTAAAATAATTCCCATAATATAATATTAGAGAAAAAAAAAGTACTCTTTATTTTTCTTGAAATAAATTAAAATGAATAAAAAAAATTATAAAGTAGGTAGCCATTTATTCTATAAAAAAAATGAATAATCATTTTATAAATGGTTTAAAATTAAAATTTTTTTGAAAGAAGGTTGTTTAATTTTCTTTAAAAAAAATAAAATAGTTCGTATATAAAATAAAAATTAAGGCGATTAGTAAAAAAAAAAGTATTCTTTATATTAATACTAAAAAATGACATTAACCGTTCACTACCGCCAACTCAACCGCTTCCTCCTCTCACTTCGTCTCTCCGCCGCACCTCCGCCGCCGGAAGCACCGTAGTCCGCCGGCGATGTTTGGGGCAAAGGTCTTCACCAAATTCTCCATACCTTTTGACCTGTCTCCAAGTAACCGCTTGACTAACGGAGTTTCTTTCCGTAACGGCCTTTTCGGTGCGAGAGAAAGCGCTTCCACGCTGTGTCTCTGTTCCGTTGACGGTGGCGTTTTCTCCGTTACGGCTTCCGGAAATTGCCACGTGGACTACCTCGGGGAAAGCACCAAGGGGAACTTGAACGTTAAGGTCGAAACTTTTGGTAACTAAAAACTTCTAACGTTTTTTAGTTACGGTTTTGTGTTGTTATATGTGTTTGTACTGTCATCGATTCTTGTTCTCTTCTTTATATTAAATTTGAACCGAAGAGAAAATGGAAAGAAAGAAAAATTAAATGTTTGTTTGGAAAAATCATTTTTTTTATCCAAAAAGAGAAAGAAAATGAAATTTTGTTTGTGTTTTTTTTTTTTTCTTTTTAACGAAAAGGAAAGAAAGAAAATGAAATTTTGTCCGTGTTTTCTTTCTTCTCTATTTTATTTTCTTCTAATTCAAATATACCATGGGGTTTTCAAGTTTGAGCTGTGATTCCGATTTTGTTGCTTCATGTGTTGAACAGAACCAGGTTGGATGGATTTGTTTTGTTTTGTTTTGTTCAGTCATAGGATGGTGAATTTGTCTCTGATATTTTTTTTTCTTTGGTTATTATTGGCTATCAAATATGGGTCTCATTTCCTTTTTGTTGGCATTTGTCGTTAATTGATTGGAACTTTTGAATTTGGCAAATGCTAATGAGCCCTGTCAGGGAACTTGGTAAGAATTTAACAATGGAAAGTATTAAATGAAAAGGAATTTTACTTGTGTACTTGTGTCTTTTTTTCTTGTTCTCATTTTCAGTTTTCACAACAATGGAAAGTATTAAATGAAAAGGAATTTTACATGGCACTTCAAAACATTAGTCATGTCCTTATCATATCCATGTCAGACACTTCACAAATACTTCAAAACACGCCTAGTTGCATTTTATGATTATTATGGTTTTAGTTCTTAAACTTTTATACTAATACAAATGAGAATTTTACAATAGTTAGACAAATAATACTGCCTCCGGTTCTTATTATAAGACACAATTTAGAAGAAAATGGAATTTTTTTATTTTATAATACACTTGCCATTTCTATAAAGCATTAATTTTACTTTTAATATTTTGTTCCTATTAAAAATTGTGAGAATGTGTGCTTTTTGTTGTTAAATAATAAGAAGAGAATTTGAGAACTAAATTTTTTCTCTTGTAAACTCTCCAATTGTCATTCACCAATTTTATTCCTCCATAAACTTTGATATGGAGTAACATCACCTCTCCCATGAAAATTTAATGATAAGTAAGAAGGGTAAAATTGATATATATTGATCTTGTTCTATAAATCCAATAAAATTAATTAACATAATTACTTATATTGGTTCGTGTGATTTGGTTAAAAGTGTCTTATAATAATGATAAGAGGGAGTAGCATTTTATTATGTCTATAATAACTCATCCTCATTTTAAAGACATCATTTCTCTCTTTTGATTTAGGATTTGTGTCTGTTGATTTTACACTGATTTTATATGCTGTATAATAGTCATTTCCTATGATTTAGTATGTGCTTTGTGTCATATCTGATAAAAAAAATTAAGCCCAAGCTCAGATAATACACAAAACATGTTACTGGGCTTGGTGTTTTGCCCATTTTATTGAGGTCCATGAGGTAGTCAAGACAAGTATTTTTAGGGCAAAATCTCCTTATCAATATATATGTTTAACTAATTTCTTGTCTAAATAATGCACTGATATTTGGTTTATTGGAGGAAGACTTGGTTATTTCTAGTACAATATTGTGTGTATCTTCAACAAGGTTTTAATTTCTAGTCATGGCTTTAAGAGGTATGTATGATTTGCAATGAACTGCTCTCTATCTTGTGTTCTAGACATTTGCTGTTTGACAGTTTATACTTTATAGGGAAAAATCTCCTATCCAAGACAAGTATTTCTAGGGAAAAATCTTCCCAACACTATATATGTAAATAATTTCTTGTCTAAACAATGAACTGATATATGGTTTACTGGAGGAAGACTTGGTTATAGCTTGCACAATTTTGTGTATATCCAACAAGGGTTTAATTTCTAGTCATGGCTTTAATAGGTATGCATGATTTGCAATGAACTGATCTTTCTCTGGTGTTCTAAGATATGTGCTATGGTTTAGTGGAGGAAGACTTGGTTATGTCTTATCAATTTTGTGTTTATCTTCAATAAGGTTTTAATTTCTAGTCAGGGCTTTAAGAGGTATGTATGACTTGTAATGAACTGCTTTCTGTATGGTGTTGTAGATATGCACCATGTTTGACAGTTTTTAGTGGAATAGAAGGAATGGTAGGGTATGAAAGAGGAGTCACTTTCTCTTGTTTGAATGTTTAAGAAAAGGATGGGAGTTCTCTTTACCTTATTCTGAGTTTAAGTAAATTGAAGGAAAGCTATTTCCTTTATTTAAGTATACCCCTTGCTCAACTTTTCTTTTTAGCAGATGGGAAGGGAGGAGATGAAACAGTCATTTCCATTTGTTTGAGTGTTGTAGTTAAAAGGATGATATTTTGAAGGGAAGAGCTAGACAATTTTGATAAGGCAGCCAGAGAGGAAAATATTACAAATCAAAATATTTCTACCCCACAAAAATTGCATATAGAATCAGTAGTTTTTTCTTGAAAACATTTGCACTGGAGGAAGGCACTCAGCCCTTGGCTGTTTCCTTTATTTAATTTAGGGTAAAAGTGTAGCCTGTTTCTCAACTTAACCGTATAGTTTGTTTATTTAATCAGTGAATCAAATGGAACATACACACACCAAACGTTTGACCTTAGCATTAAAAAAAATAAGTTTTTCCTTTCTCACTTAATCCGTCCTAAAGTTTCTTTTTTTTAGTATCTTAAGGTTAAGTTCTATTTGATTTAAATAAATTTACATTATCTCTTGAACCAAATTTCAGTTAAATGGATATACTTGAAGGTGGTAAAATGTATTTGTTTGTCTAATTCAATTCATATGCCTTGAATTGGGGAGGAATAATTTTAATGCTTCCCCCTTCCTTTTCCCTCAAAATTTCTGAAACATGGATAAAGTAATTATGATATAATTAACACTTGTCACAAATTACTGATATTAATTAAAGATATTTATCTTTGGTCTTTGTCAAATATCCAGCAATATGATATTGATTATGGTTCCAAAACTCATGGTTTCCCTAGTAGGAATCGATGGACATGCTGCATTAGAAGGTCCAATTGAGGAGGTGGCCAGAAGAGAGGCTAGAGAAGCTGAAGATTTACTGAAAAAATTGGATATTCAGGTGCGTTAGGCCTACTAGTTTTATGGTTTTGGGGTCTCAAAGTGAATAGTTATAGAGAAAAGTATGCATACCTTCCCTTGGGAAATTTACAAAGCCTACGCAAATTGAAAACATCCCATTATCTAGTTTCAGAAATTGCATTGAATATTTTCATTTCATATACATATATAGATTTTTTAGACAGCCATAATAAACAACTAGATGTATGCCTTTGTATAATGTAAAACCAGAAGGGGTGTTATTGTAGGTTTCACAAACTTTTGAAAGTTCAGACTTAGATGAAATTTACTTAGAATTTAATTGGATACATTGACAATGTAAAGTTCTTTTTACTTGATGTCCAATCATGGATTGCCATGTAACTAAAAATTCTTGACTTTTGTAATAATAACTATAAAAGTCATATCTAGGGTGATTCTAATTAGTTGATAGTGTAAAAATATTTAAACAGATAATATATCAAACTTAAACTTACTTATAAGACTAACATTGTTTAGTATCTTCTTGCAGATTCCTTTTTTGTCAAGAGATTCACCTCATGGAATATTTTGCATCCATACACTAAATCTTCAGTCAATTAGTGTCATTGGATATGACATGGACTATACCTTGGTGCATTATAATGTGAAGGTAACTGTTGAAATTATAGGGATTTAACTAGGAAAGAAAGAAAAAAGAGAATAAAGACATTGAATAATATTTTTTTATGTGTATGATGATGTCTAGAAAGAGAAGAAACTATTTTATTCAATATGCTTATGGTTAACACGTGTACCCATATATATACAAATAAAAAGCTATCTTTTATCTAAAAATAAACTAAAAGATAAATTTTCGTATCCTAAATATTGACTGTATTTACATTACATTCTCTAAAATTGGTGAACGAGTATTAATCATTCCTAACTTGCCAATAAGTTCTTGGAATTTTGTTGTAGAGAATCCATTGGTGAACACATCTGCCAATTGAAGACACAGGGATATAGGCTGTGTCTATAAGACTGTTATCCAATTTATCTTTGATGAAGTGTTTGTTAGTTTCTACATGTTTGGTTTTGTCATGCTGTACAGGATTGTGGCAATGCTAATAATAGAATTGTTATCACAAAACAACCTCGTAGGTTCTTCACATTTTATTTTGTGGTTACTAAGAATAATCTTCGTCCATAACCACTCACATATATCGTGTGCCATTGCTCAAAATTTTTCTTTTGCACTAGAGTGAGCAACCACATTTTGATTCTTGCTCCTCCATGTTACACTACTTCCTCCTAGAAACATGCAATATATAAAGTTGGATCTTCTATCTACAACTGGCCAGACATATTCTGCATTTGTATATACCTCTATAGACAATGTACCTTTTCTCTTGAACAAGAGTTATTTTTCAGGACTTGCTTTCATATATTGGAGGATTTTATCACTAGGTGCAAGTGCCTTTCTCAACGATTATGCATAAATTGACTTACCTCAGTAGCAACATAAGTGATGTTTGGTCTAGTGTGGGATAAATAGTTACTTGAAAAGGAGAATGATTTTATTATTATCATTCATACGTATTACATTTTCCTAACACCTATTTGTAACAATCTAATCTTCCAAAATAAGGAAATAAGGAAAAAAATATTCTGAAAAATAAACTAGAAGATTCTACAGATATTTTCTCTAATTAGGAAGATTTTCCTCTAATTACAACACTCCCCCTCAAGTTGGTAAATGAATATCAATCATTCCTAACTTGCCTACAAGATCTTGAAATCTACCCTGAGGGAGCCCTTTTGTAAAAATATCTGCTATCTGAAGTTCTGTAGGAACATGAGTTGTTATCACAAAGCCTCTGTCTAGATTATCTTTGATGAAATGTCTGTCAATCTCAATGTGTTTGGTCCTATCATGTTGTACTGGATTATGGGCAATGCTCATGGCAGACTTATTGTCACAGTATAGTTGCACGGGGTTGTCCACCTTGATTTTAAGGTCATCCAAAATGATTTTCATCCAGAGTCCTTCACACATTCCTTGAGCAAGGGCTCGGAATTCAGCTTCTGCACTAGAACGAGATACTCTATCTTGCTTTTTGCTCCTCCACGTTACGAGACTATCTCCAAGAAACATACAATACCCAGAAGTAGATTTTCTGTCAGTAATAGAACCTGCATAGTCAGCATCAGTATATATTTTCATAGTCAATGTATCTTCCCTTTTGAACAATAACCCCTTTCCTGGACTTGACTTCAAGTACTGGAGAATTTTGTCAACTGCTTGCATGTGTCTCTCTCTTGGATCATGCATAAATTGGCTCACTACACTAACTGCATAAGCAATGTCTGGTCTTGTGTGTGATAGATAAATCAATTTCCCTACCAATCTCTGATATTGGGCCTTCTCTACAGGAGCACTTTCTTCACTTCCAATTCTGTGATTTTGTTCTATAGGAACTGTTGAGGTTCTACATCCCAGCTTCCCTGTTTCTTTGAGGAGATCAAGTACATATTTCCTTCGGGAAATGAAAATTCCATTTTTGGAATAAGCAACCTCTATTCCAAGAAAATACTTGAGTTTTCCTAGGTCTTTCATTTCAAATTGGGCTGCCAATTTTTCTTTTAATGCCAATTTTTCTATTTCATCATCTCCTGCAATAATCATATCATCCACATAGACAAGCAATAGAGTGAGTTTACCTGTAGAAGACTGCTTTATGAATAGAGTATGATCTCCTTGGCTTTGTCTGTATCCCAAGGAAACCATTGCTTTTGTAAATCTTCCAAACCATGCTATAGGGGATTGCTTAAGACCATACAATGCTTTCTTTAGGAGACATACCTTGTTTCTTTCATTTTGCACTTCAAAACCTGGAGGAATCTCCATGTACACTTCCTCTTCCAGATTTCCATGAAGAAAGGCATTCATCACTTCCAATTGGTGTAAGTCCCAACCAAAATGAGCAGCCAAAGCGAGAATAACCCGAATTGTATTCATCTTTGCCACTGGGGCAAAGGTCTCCTCATAGTCAATCCCATAAGTTTGGGTATAGCCTTTTGCCACCAATCTAGCTTTATATCTTTCTACTGTCCCATTTGACTTATGTTTCACTGTGAATATCCAGCTACATCCTATTGCCTTCTTGTCTCTTGGCTTATCAACAATCTCCCAAGTTGAATTTCTTTCTAATGCATTCATCTCTTCTTTCATGGTTTGAGTTTAATGTTCAAATTTCATGGCCTCCTGGATTGAGGTAGGAATTTTTGTGGCATCAATGGCAGAAATAAAATTCCTGTGCTTATTAGAGAGATTGTTAGTGCAAACATATCGAAAAATAGGATATTTAGTGCATGACCTTCTTTTCTTTCTCAATGCAATGGGTAAATCCTTAGTAATACTTACCTCCTCATTGTTATTTTCTGGGATCCTCACCCCCGGATTAGACAATTTTTCTTGCTCGAGAGTCGAAGTGGGTTGTTTTCTTCTTTCATATTTTTTTCCAAAAAATTTGTCTTCCTCTTTTTCTGCTTCTTCCTCGCTGTGGACCATGGTAGCTTCATTGCTCAGATCTTGGGCATCCTACAAAGACAAATATGGTAATGACAAGAAGGAGAGCTCCTTCACTTCAAGTGTTTTCTCCCCCTGAAGTCGTGGACTGACATAAAAGGATTGTGTTTCATGAAAGGTGACATCCATGGTGATAAAGACGCGACGACTCTAAGGATGATAACATTTGTACCCTTTTTTATTAGAAGGATACCCAATAAAGACACATTTAAGAGCTTTGGGATCTAATTTACTACGATTATGATGATGAGTGAACAAAAACAGTACATCCAAAGACTTGACTAGGTAGACTCGATATTAGGGGACAAGAGGGAATAAAAGACAATAGAGACTCTATAGGACTAATGTCATTTAAGATACGGGTGCATAACCTGTTGATGAGATATGTGGCAGTTAACGCAGCTTCTCCCTAGTAATTTTTTGGAACAGACATTTGAAAAAGAAGAGCTCTAGTTACTTCTAGAAGATGACGATTCTTTCTTTTTGCAACCCCATTTTGTTGAGGGGTGTTTACACATGTTAGTTCATGAACAATACTATTATGAGACGAAAAATTGAGAAGTTCATGATTCACATATTCAGTACCATTATCAGACCTGATTCTTTTGATATTTTTTCCAAATTGATTTTGGATCAGACGGAAAAAATTAACAAAGATTTGGAAAACTTCTGATTTATTTTTCATAAGGTATGTCCATGTGACACGGGTACAATCGTCAATAAAGCTGTCATTCCTACAGTAGAAGAACTCATAGATCGATTGATTCGGGTCCCTTCACCGAGGCAGATCCTCACACAGAATTTGAGTCCTCTGCTTTTATCTCTAGTACAGCTGACCGTGGAAGTCGAGGGTGTGGTTGAGGTCGTGGTCGTGGTAAAGGGGTAGAGGAAACCTTCATTGTACCTACTGTCAGAGAGATGGCCATACACGAGACAAGTGTTATTCCTTGCATGGCTTTCCAGCAAGATAGCTAATGTGGCTCAATCTCCAACTTCAGCTCCAGAGCTCAAGATTGAACCGGAGGGCAATCATCCAATCACATTATCTACCGATGATTACCAAGAGTATCTTCAATTGAAGGCAACTAAACAGGCCTTTTCTTCTATCACTGTTGCTCATATTGGTAATTCTACAGTCTGTCTCTCTCATTCTACGTCTATTGGACCTTGGGTTTTGGACTCCAGTGCTTCTGATCACCTAACTGGTAATGTCTCCCTTTTCCTTAACCTATCATCACCTAAGACTCCACATCATATCACTCTTGCAGATGGGTCAAAAGTCCAAGCCACTAGTATTGGCCAAATATCACCTCTCCCATCACTACTATTAAAATATGTTTTACTAGTTCCTGGATGTCCTTTTAATTTGATTTTCTACCATATGTGCATCTATTGAGTCTCCTGGTTTAATCTATCGTCGCCTGGGTCATCCAAGCTTGAATAAATTAAAGAAAATGGTGCCTCATCTCTCACGGTTGGAGTCCTTAGAGTGTGAGTTGTGTCAATTACGGAAGCATGTTAGAGCTTCTTTTCCTAATAGTATTAATAGTCGAGCTATGTCTCCTTTTGATGTTATTCATTCTGATGTGTGGGATCCTAGTCGCGTTCCTTCTCTTTTAGGACATAGGTATTACGTCACCTTTATTGATGATTTTTCTAGATGTACTTGGATATTTTTAATGAAAAATCGTTCTGAGTTATTCAATATTTTCCTAAGTTTCTATTCGGAGATCAAAACTCAATTTGGCAAAGTAATTCGGATTTTACGAAGTGATAATGCTAAAGAATATTTTTCAGATTGCTTCAAATCATTTATGGCTTCCCATGGCATTCTACATCAATCTAGTTGCCCTCATACACCTCAACAAAATGGTGTAGCTGAGCGAAAACATAGACATACTGTGGACACTGCTCGTACTCTTTTATTGAATGTCAATGCACCCCCAAAGTTGTGGGGCGATGTTGTCCTCACTGCAGGGTATTTAATAAATCGAATGCCATCGTCTGTCTTGAATGATCAAGTACCTCATTCCCTATTATACCCATTGGATCCCCTTTATTCTGTTCATCCTCGTGTCTTTGGCTGTACTTGTTTTGTCCATGATCTTTTCTCAGGATGTGCTAAGTTGTCTGCTCGGGCCATCAAATGTTGTTCTTAGGATACTCTCGTGTCCAAAAGGGGTATCGTTGTTACTCTCTTGCTACGTATCGATTTTACATCAGTGCAGATGTCACTTTCTTTGAAGATACACCATATTTTATTGCCACAGATGTGTCTCCAGTTGACTCAGATCTCCTCTATCAGGTATTGCCTATTCCTCATTTTGATCATAGTGTGCCTCCTACCACACCTTCTACTTTAGAGGCACCAGATCCTCCCGCACTACCAGGGTCTGGCCATCCTCTACACCGATTTGGGATAACCTATGAGCGTCAATCACATACTGTTGTTCCTCCCAATGATTCTTCAATTGAGTCATGTGATTCTACTCCTGCTTCAGTCTCCTCACCTACTCCGGCCCCACCTACCTCAGTTGACTTGCCCATTGCTTTTCGTAAAGGTAGTCGTTCTACTTGTAATCCTCATCCTATTTATAACTTTCTTTCATATCATCGTTTGTCTCCTACTTATTATACTTTTGTCTCTGCTATTTCCTCTATTACCATTCCCAAGACAGTACAGGAGGCCTTAACCCATCCAGGATGCAATGATTGATGAGATGACAGCTTTAGACTCCAACCACACTTGGGTACTTGTCCCACCTCCGCCTGAAAAATCTGTTGTTGGTTGTCGGTGGGTATTTAATGTTAAAGTGGGCCTTGATGGACAGGTGGATAGATTGAAAGCTCGTCTTGTGGCTAAGGGATACACGCAAGTATATGGTTTGGATTACAGTGACACCTTCTCTCCAGTTGCGAAGATGGCTTCAGTTCGTCTCTTCTTGGCTATGGCTGCTATGAGGCATTGGCCTTTGTTTCAATTAGACATCAAAAATGCCTTTTTACATGGTGATTTGGAGGAGGAGATTTATATGAATCAACCTCTTGGGTTTGTTGCTCAAGGGGGGGTCTAGTCTTGTATGTAAATTACAGAAGTCCTTGTATGGCCTCAAACAATCACCTCGTGCTTGGTTTGGTCGGTTTAGCAAAGTTATACAGGAATTTGGAATGATTCGCTGCGAGACAAACCACTCTGTCTTCTTTAGACGCTCATCGACACATAGATTTATCTATCTTGTTGTTTATGTAGATGATATTGTGATTACAGGTGATGATCAGGAGGGCATCAAGGCTCTGAAGCAACACTTATTTAAACACTTTCAAACTAAGGATTTAGGTCCCCTACGTTATTTCCTCGGGATTGAGGTCGCTCAGTCAAAGTCCGGTATTGCTATTTCTCAGAGAAAATATGCCCTTGATATTCTAGAAGAGACCGGACTTACAGATTGTAAGCCAGTTGACACTCCCATGGATCCTAATGTGAAGCTTATGCCTAATCAGGGGGAGCCTTATCCTGACCCAGGGAGATATCGGAGATTAGTGGGCAAATTGAATTATCTCACCATGACCAGACCTGATATATCCTTTCCTGTCAGCGTTGTAAGTCAGTTTCTTAACTCTCCCTGTGAGAGTCATTGGCTTGCAGTTGTTCGAATCCTTAGATACATCAAAAGATCACCAGGAAAAGGACTTGTTTACAATGATAGAGGACATACAAACATTGTTGGATATTCAGATGCAGATTGGGCTGGTGATGCAAGTGATAGGCTGTCAACATCAGGCTATTGTGTCTTCATGGGTGGTAATCTTGTCTCATGGAAGAGTAAAAAGAAAAGTGTTGTTGCACAATCAAGTACAGAAGCAGAATATCGTGCTATGGCTCACACCACATGTGAGCTCTTGTGGCTAAAATTCTTAATTCAAGAGTTGCAGTTTTGCAAGGTTGGTCATATGGAACTAGTTTGTGATAACCAGTCAGCTTTATACCTCTCCTCTAATCCAGTTTTTCATGAGAGAACAAAGCATATAGAGGTTGACTGCCATTTCATCAGAGAAAAGATCCTCTCCGGTATCATCAAGACCTCCTCAGTTTGCTCTAAGGATCAACTTGCAGATATCTTTACTAAATCTTTACGAGGTCCTAGGATAACATATATATGTAACAAGCTAGATGCATATGATATATATTCCAGCTTGAAGGGGAGTGTTAAGATAATTCTATAAGATATAGTTTAGATATACTAGTTTATCTTCTCCTAATTTCTAGTTTCGTTTCCTTTGTCAGTTTTATCTACATCCCTAACCTTTAGGGATTGATTATGTTTTATGCCTGTTTATTTTATTGTACCCATTCAGATTCAATAATAAGAAATTATTCATATTCAAGTCTCATTATTTCTGATCCATATCTATCACACAGCTTTGGTACTATGTTGAAATGACAGGGATTTGAGTTGTGAAGGACAAGAGAAAGAATAAAAGCACTGAATAATATTCTCTTATGTATCATGATGCAATATAAAACATGAAGCTCTATCCCCCAATTATGGCAGTACTAGACCCTACCCCGTACTAATAATAATCGAATCAAATAAGACAACAAATCTGAAAATATAACTCCTAATTCTAATCTCTCTTTTTAGCATTTTAGTGGCTGTTGCACATTGAGAAGCTTGTAGGCATTTTATTTGGTTAGTGGCTAATGGTTTTGCAAAATATTACTGTGACTGCTAAATGAATTTTGGCCTTTTCGTTTCCAAACTACTTTGTGGCATCAAGCTATCTAAAGTACAATTTGCATTTTATTAGGGGGATGCCAATTCAGCAGTTAAAACTGCATGCTAGCCCTTGAAAATTTATATGTTGAGGTTATGTTTTTCTATATCTCTTGTTTCCTTGGGTTTGGATGATGGTTTAATCATTAAATTTTGGCAGGACATTTGGGTGGATAGTTTTTTAAGGTTTTTTTAGTATTCTTTCACTTCTTTATTTTTCACAATGCTCCTACAATCTGATTTTATTCTCTTTTTTTTTTACTGTTTCCTAGATTTTTCTTTTCTTTAGAAATTGCATGACAGAGAAATATCTAATTTGCAGTCCCTTATGGTGTTGATGGATTCAATCCATCTCTTTCTAATCTAGGTAAGATAAATTGTTTTCTTTCCTACATGGTTTTGTTTTCTTGCAGATTGTACTTTTAATTTCCTACTTCTCCCATTAATGATTCCTACCATTTAGATATGTTCATTTGGAAATCAATTGCTCCCTTTAAGATCAAATCCTTTACACAGACTGCACTTATAAACAGATTTAATACCAATAATTTCCTTCAAATTTGAAGACCTCTAATTGGTTTCTCCCGATTATTGTGTGATGTGAAAATCTAGTTGTGAAATTGGTTCTCATTTGTTTTTGAATTGCCTAACAGTTTCACTTCTCTGGAATAATGTATTGGTGTTTTTAGTGAGGACTGGATTTTCCCCAGCTGTACTTTTTCCTAATTTTAGAGGATTTGACACAACACCGGCAGAAAAGGATTTGGTGTTGTTCTCAATTTGCAGTTTTTTGTTTTTTTGTTTGGAAAGAAATGCTTTATTGATGATTGGTTTCCTTGAGTTAATTTGGGATTTGATCAGTTCACCTAGCAAGCATCTTTCTAGTGTTCTGCACATCTGCCAATGGTCTTCAAAGAGATTGGCATGTTGTGTTGCATGGTCATTTTTGGGGTGGTGTTGTTTGTTTGGTCTTCAAAGAGATTGGCTTGTTTTGGTGCATGGTCATTTTTTGGGTGATGTCCTTTTATTGTTGGTATGGCTTTTGAGAATTTCTTATCCTCTTGTATTTGTACCTCCTTTTTCTACCTTAATAAATTCTTTGTTTATAAAATAGATGGAAACCATTCCTGAGGTTATCCAAGATAATCTTACATATTTCTAAGATAGAATGACGGTTTTACGAGATATTATCCAAGTAATCTAATAGTAATCATATGTTAGCATTATAATTTTATGCACCATTATGATTTAACTACTAAGGTCACTCATATAACATTATGTAATCTTCACTTGTATTACATGTCATACATATAAACAAAATACAAGTAAAATTTTTTAATTTTAGAATCCAATTATACCGAGTTAGGTGATACAGACCGCGACCGGGGTATCACATGAGTTTTCTTTAATGAATGTTCTTTGCTTTTGGCATTTGTTAATTTTGACAATTTACCACATGTGTAGTTGTACAAATTATTTTCCTTGTACTTTGCTTAAATTTTTACTTATATATGTTAACATCATTTGCATTGTACTTCAAATAATAAGTATGCTGAAACTATACATTATGTAGTGTATGTATCCTGGTAATTGGACTTCTCTGATCTGGATGTTTTCAAACAGGCTTGGGAAGGGCGGGCTTATGACTACTGTATGGAAAACCTCAAGAAAATGGGCTTCCCTGTTGATGGACTTGCATTTGATCCAGACTTGGTAACATGTCATCTCTGACAAGCTGCAGCATTTTGTGATTCATTGGATTAGTATTATCTCTGTTTTACTCAATTGATATTTGCATTCCAAAGATTCCATTAAATTGTTCAGGTTATTAGAGGCCTTGTCATTGATAAAGAGAAAGGCAATTTGGTTAAACTTGATCGATTTGGTTATATAAAAAGAGCCATGCATGGAACCAAAATGTTATCTACGCATGCTGTGAGGTAAGTGCTTAGCATTGTGATCCTGAATTTCAATTATAGAAATTAGTGCACAGCCTTGCCAATTTGTGAACAAACCCTGCAACAAGTAAACCTGTTAAAATTATATCACTTTTGGTGAGAATGATTTTATTATAATGCTTTGTAGATAAATAAATATGTTACTTGGCGTTAAGTTATTGATGATTTATGGAAGTTGCAACAATGTCGTCATATATTCAATTGTCCTAGAGTCAAGGTATCTTATACAAACCAGGTATATTGTTAGAAAAGTGTTCGCATTTCCCCCAATGACAAGCTTCCAACTTGTAGAGAAAAGACAGACACTGGAAATGGGAGTTGAATAGTATTTATCAAAAACTTGTACTTTTTTGACTAGTGAAGTAGTAGCGTTAACAATAAAGAGTGTAAGAGAAGAGACAGACAAAATACATGGTAATTACGTTCAGTTCTCAATCCGACCAGATTGAGTTTTACTATCTTTAAAAAAGATACAAATATTCTTTTAACAAATCACTTTTGGCTCAAACGTAATTGTTCTTTGAATTGTCTCTTCAAGTAATCTTTCCAAGTATTCTTTCAACACAAAGCCTCTCTAGGCTTCAACATCAAGTATTCTTTTAAAGACAAATCTTTTTAGGCTCAAACGAGTATTTTCTTTTTTTACAAACAAGTCTCTCTAAGCTCAAACCCTATAATAACATTTATATGTAGATAAAGTTTTACAAATGTTTTGTATTACAAATAAGACGAGATACAACCAATTAAGAATAATATCTTTATAGAAAGAATGAGTAATAATTTGTACAAGAGTTCTGCTCAAAAAGTCTTTTTCTTTCTAATCTTGAAGTTCCTTATATAGTAGCCTAGATGAAGATGACTATTGCAAAACCTTGAGAGTTCCTCACAAGCTTGCTTCCTTGGTCTTCATTACATGTTCCTTGGGATGAAAAGTGTTCGTTGAAACATTAAATGCTTGCATTAATTACATTTTACCAAATTGTCACTTTGCATCTAATCAAGGAGGATACTTACTAGCTTTAAGATGCCAAATGGACTTTCTATGGTGTGTGTCAGCGAAGAGCAGGTTCTACATCAACTTTTACTGACTTTCTCCGTGATTTCAAGGATCCTCCTATCCTTATTTCTTGTGTAGAGCATGACTTTATTTACTTTAACAGATTTATGAGTTTCAATGAGTTTCCTTTGTTCGATCTGTTAAGGAACCAATTAGTCATGCACCAAATAGTCATTACTCATGATAAATGATTCTCATTTAACACTTTATGAAATAAGATTGTATGCTTCATTTGATGACACATCGTCTGTCTAAAGGTTTACGTCTTATGCTTCTTCTAATTTGTATTTTGCAAAGATATTTTCCCTTTAGAAAAATGTTCAATTTGTTATCATTAAAGCTTGAAAGCTTGAAGCATCTAAGATCGTCTTTTGACCTATACATCCCAATTGAGGTTGATTCTGTAGATAACCACTGCCCAATTGAGGTTGTTTGCTTCTTAGTCATAAGAATATCTTCAGTTGTTGCAACTCGAACAACATCTTGTGCTTCTGGAGGAGGAAATGGGTCACCTATCCCACTCAAGACTCACCCCTCTATGTATCTCTTATATGCCATCCCATGTCTATGATGACACTTTTTCTCTCTACTATTGGTACATTATTTTCTAGAGGAGTTCCTTTGGTCCTCAAGAACATTGTCTAACATATTCAAGATTTCTTGGAATGTATCCTCTGAATTCCTAACACTTTTATCCCTCGAGAGATGATATGCTCACTTCAAGCTAAGCACATTCTAACATTTGATTTTGGGCATAGGAGTCTCATGCACCAATTGTTTCTTCTTGGACTCTTGAGGATGGGGAGCTTCTTTTGTGGGTGTAGGTTGGTGAGAGGGAATGGCTTGTGGTCGAAAGAGATGGAAGGAAACAAACATATTATCAGAGTTTGATGATGAATCATGTATAGTGATGGCGAGTTGTTTTTGGTGAGGTAGGTTGAGAGGATGGTGGTTGGACTCTTTAGGTGCTAGAGCCATGTGTAGAACGTTGGCTAGTCATAGGTTTCTTGGTCTTGGGCTCAAGACCTTCAACCTATAGTTCCAAGCACTTCTTCTTGTGTATTGGAGTATAGTTTTACTCCTTACTTATATATGCAGAATAGTAATGTAGATTATTTTTAATCTTCTTTTTACTATCACATTTATTGTCTTTATTATAGACCAACATAGATTGGCTCTATATAAACTTGTCTTCTATTTCTTGTGCAGTTAGTGAAAACATTTTGCTTATTGAAACATTCTCTTATCTTCTCTTTTTCGCTCTCTCTCTCTCTCTCACAGTTCTATTATGGTATCATAGAGCTCCTCGGTCCTCTTCTCCTTTTTTCTTCTCCGTTCATCTCGACAATCTTGTCATGGCTAAATCCACTCCTCCAGCGAATTCCTCTCCACCACCATTGCCCCCTCCACCTATCAATGCTACACCTATCAATACCATTCCTTCAAAGAACCCTCCCACTAATTCCTCTCCGTCTCTCACCTTTTCCCACACCATATCAAAAAAACTGGACACCAAGAATTATCTTCTTTGGTGCCAGCAGGTCGAACCGGTAATCAAAGGCCACCAACTCCATCATTTTCTTGTTAACCCACAGATTCCCCAGAAGTTTCTCTCCATCATTGATCGTGATTCTGGTCAGATATCTGAATCCTATCTTGCTTGGGAACAGCAAGATCAACTATTGCTATCTTGGCTGCAGTCTTCCATGTCTAAAGACATGCTTACTCGGGTTATAGGTTGCAAGACGTCCTTTCAATTGTGGGACAAAATACACTTCTACTTTCATTCTCACATGAATGCCAAATCCCGTCAACTCCGCAATGAACTACATAGCACTAATCTTGAAAATCAAACCATTTCTGACTATGTTCTCTGAATTCAAACCCTTGTTGATGCTCTCACAGCCATTAGTGACTCAGTTTCTGCAAAAGAGCATCTTGACATCATTCTTGAAGGCTTACTGGAAGAATATGAATCAACTGTGTCACTCATCAGCAATCGTTTTGACATGTTGTCCATAGACGAAGTTAAGACCTTGCTTCTTGGCCATGAATCTCGCCTTGACAAATTCAAGAAGAAAGCAACTGCATCTATCAATGTCACTACCACCAATCTTGAACCCAAGTCATCTTTATCGCACCCCCAATCAAATCTTGCTCATCAAGAACCTCGACCTCAATTGCTCAACGTCATGGGGGTCGCACAATTTTTCGTGGTGGCTGTTTCCCTAATCGTGCTGGTCGCGGATGAGGCAGATTCGCTGGATTTCAATGCCAGGTCTGCCATCGCTATGGACATGTTGCTTCTTCTTGCTATTATAGGTTTGATGAGACCTTTGTCCCGTCCTCCCCACTGAATGCACCCACGTTCCCTTCTACCAATCACAATGCAGATGCAGGTTCCTGGTACAACAGTCAAACCGCTCTAGCCCAGTACTTCCCATCACCCTCACAACACAACAACACGCTCACCCTCCACCCCACCAACACGGTATTCTTGGACCTAGACCACAACCCACCACATAAGTTCACTTTGCCTCCACACACAAGCTCAAGCCATGATTGCCTCATCTTCCTCCTCGAGCAACAATACTTGGTATCCGGACTCTGGGGCTTCAAACCATGTAATCAATGTCTCTCAAAATACTCAACAGTTTACCCCTTTTGAAGGACCGGATCAAATTCATATTAGTAATGGACATGGTCTTCATATTAATTCCACGGGTGTCACTACATTTCCCTCCCCAACAAATCTTAAGTTTCAATTTGCTCTAAACAATCTACTTTTTGTTCCCTCCATTACCAAAAATCTAATCAATGTTAGTCAATTTTCCAAAGATAATTCTGTCTTTTTTGAATTTCACCCTTCCGTTTGCATGGTAAAATCCCAGGATACTAAAGAAATCCTTCTCCATGGCTCGGTTGGTCCGGATGGTCTGTATCAATTCCCTGCTTTACTTCCCACCACCAGTACACAACCTGTCCAGCACTTTAAAACTGCCACATCTCCCTCTGTTAACACAGCAAGCCAGAAATCTATTTCTTTTGCCACTTGGCACTCTAGATTAGGTCATCCTAATGCTGATGTAATGAAACTTATTTTTTCGAAACTTCCATATTTAATCTGTGAACAATATTGAATCAGTTTTTTGTGCTTCTTGTTGTCTTGGCAAATCTCATAGATTACCCTCAAATCTATCCAAAATTGTTTACACCGCACCTTTTGAATTAATTTTCAGTGATTTATGGGCCCTTGTACCATTCACGTCTACATGTGGCTATCAATATTATCTCACCTTTGTTGATGCCCACACACGCTTTACATGGATCTATCTTCTCAAAAACAAAGCCCAAACTCTTGGTATTTTTAAGTAGTTTCATACTATGGTTAAGAATCAATACAACTAACCAATCAAAGCCTTACAAACTGATTGGGGTGGTGAGTATCGCCCCTTTACAGCGTATCTCAACGATGTTGGAATTCAACATCATATCATATGCCCACACACATCACCAAAATGGGGTTGTTGAACAAAAACATAGGCACATTGTTGAACTTGGCCTGACCCTGTTAGCCCAAGCTAATTTGCCTATGCAATTCTGGGATCATGCCTTCCTCACTAGTGTTTATCTAATCAATCGGCTTCCATCTTCCTCTATTCAAAATGTGGTTCCATATCACAAACTTTTCCATCAACCCCCAAATTATCACTTTCTCAACATCTATGGTTGCTCTTGTTTTCCACATCTTAGACCTTACAACAGAAACAAACTTCAATTTCGATCACAAGAATGTGTCTTTCTGGGGTATTCAACCTCTCACAAAGGCTACAAGTGCCTTGTCGCTGATGGGCGTCTCTATGTTTCTAAAGATGTTGTATTTAATGAAACTAAGTTTCCCTAGAAGGATGTCTTCTCTCCGCCC